CCCCCCGGCCCTGGGTTCCCCCCCCCCCCCCGGGGCCCCCCCCCGCGGGGGGGGGGGGGGGGGGCCGTTTGGATTCAATATCTATAACCTGCCTCTTTTCAAAAGCCGCAGCAACCTATCAATTGGAACAGTAACAAAATCTTCCCTCTCCTCCCTCAACAGAATTCCCATCTCACACTTTCTGCCCCCATCGGAAAGGAGAGAAGAATGTGCGGTCGGAGCGGAGTCTCCGACGGCGGGAGCGGGGAGGAGCACACCAACAGAAGAAAAATCATCGGCGACAACACACGTGCCAATGTCGGGATTTTCCATGTCGTCTCTCCCACGTCACACGTGCTTGACACTCAAAATTCGGAACCGAACGAGTCAGAATGCTCGGCCGAACCAGCGCAGACATGGATTTCCGCCCAAGCTGTACTTTTTTCCTCGTCTTCTTCCAGGATTGCAGTCTTTTTTTTTTTTGTTCGTATCCTGGGTGGTGCCTAGCCGCAGTGCCCCTCACTCACTCGCATGCAATGCCTGCCAGCCATGCCCGACCCCGCGCGCGCACGTAACGCTGCAACCGCATATTCCCTGCTCGACGTTGAATTTCCTCGTTTTCATAGGCGAACGAACAGCCCGGGCCTAGACCTAAATGGCTGTCGTTGCGGCTGTCGCGACAGAAGCTTGTTATTGCGGCGTGCGATGAGTCAAATCGCGGGTAGTAGCACGTTGAAAAAATTGCCATCTTGATAATATGTGAGTCGCCCCTGATCGAATCGGCAGCCGAAACCATCCTACCCGTGGAATGTGACGGCCCGAGTCCTTGTCGCTTATACCGCGACCCGTAGGACTGGCATGTTTACTCAGTGCCTTGCCTAAGGTAGATGAGATTGCCACGACGGTCAGTAACCCTCGATGACTGGCAGACAGGCAACCTTCACGGGCTATTGGCCTAGTCCTGAATAATGGTCTCCCGTGACCCGGCTTCAAGTCTCGAGATCTATTGCCATCGTCTCCGTGAAGGCGCGTATGAAGCCCGATGCACACCGCCTCGTCTGCGTCACGGCGCCATCTGGGCGTTCACTTCGCCGCAGAGGGACCAGTCATAGTCTTCGTCGTTTGCTTTGAAATACTTTTGGATTCAGTGAGCCGTCGGCAGTTGGTGCGCTGCTTCGACTCCCTAAAGTAAGCTTGTCGCCCCTAGAAGCATGACGGGCGTCCCCCGTCTCCAACCTTTGTCGCCCGCTTTCTGGGGCCAGATATAATCGTGATGTAAAAAGAGTCATCTCCCATAGCCTCAACGCCTGAGTGTTGATGCATGCTACCGCCGCCTCGTTCGTGCGCTCACTACTCTGGTGCTTCGGGACGAGCTCCCGAGGGCATCATTGGCTCGACCTGGGAGCTGAGGACGGGTACGGAAAACAACACCTATGTCCGTACTTGCCGCCTGAAGCACCACCCAAAGATAACGAAACTCGACTCGTCGAACGAAATCCTTATCCGTTTGAGAAACTGACGTGGGGGTCATCCCTTACCCCATGTTGTTACAAGTCTCGGTGTAGGTCTGGCCTCGTCGCTCTTGACGTGCAGACCCCGCCGCGTATCCTGAAGTTGCTTCACCCGTCCGATTTCCAGCCTCTGTCGTCGGTCCGCGCCATCTTCCAAATGGCGTCTTCAATATCCATAGAGGAAGAACATATGATCCTCTGCAAGCGAAGCTGAAAAAAGAACAAAAACGTCGTCAATTTGGCCTTGGGGTATCGTCGTTGAGAAGCCCCTGAAGAAAGCTCCCTGGTCTGGCTTCCGGCGCTCCATTGACTACGCCATCCGTGTCTCCGTCTACCATTGCATCTGGCTGTGCATTTGCATACGGTTCCTGGACGCCATCGACCATTGTGAGGGCATTTATCTGAAGTCTGATTGTATCCAAGAACGCTGACCGAGCCGTTGCGTCGAGTTTTGAAACCGCCGATTTTCTGATGTCTCGCGGTCAGTCTAAAACGCTGAGAGGGAAGCCCTTGGGCTGAATGTCCAAATTACAATATGCTGAGCAGAGACGACAGTTCGTCCATGGGCATTTGGCCCTGAACGACCGAGTCTGATGCTCCAGGGGCGGGGGAGGCCTGTTCGGATTTGGCAGAGGCGAGCGAGATCAAGACGTCGGCATTCTTGATAAACTTGACCAGATCGTCCAGGTCGGTCTCGATATTGGCGGTACGCATGCGCCTTATGATTTCGATGGATTCGGCCTCGGAACGCATCGATAGGAGGCGGAATAATTCCTCAAAAAGAGAGAGGCGACGTTGCAGCTCCTCGTGCTTGGTTTTGAGGGCGGCAAAGCGGGTGACGTCGGGCCCTGCATCGTACTCACACCTGGTGCGACCCATGCCGGCACACAAGGAGCAGACGGGTCGCTGGCCATCGCACTTTGATTTCCTCCTCCGACACGAAGTGCAGGCAATCTTTGTCTGGGGACGACGTCTCGGTGCAGAGCCAGTAGCACTACCACCGGTGGCAGATTGCGGGGTTGATTCTCGCTCGGAAGAGGCACTGCTGGCTGCGGCTGGGCCTGCGGGCAGAAGCTCGCGCTGTGGTTTCATGGTGAGGGTAGCCTCGACCTTCAGCCTTGGACCATGGATAGGCCTGGGCGTGTCCCAGGATCGCCAAGGGCTGGTGGTGATGGGAGTAGGCGTAGGCGTTTGCGCCTGGGACTGGAAGTGGTAGGGCGTGTAGCTGACACGGCGAGATGTGCGCTCTGGCAGTAATTGATATGGCGCCAGTGGACGACGACGACGAATCGAGAGAGGGCAGAGCGGGCCACGACCGCAAGTCCAGTGGTGCTGGACCAGATCCAGATCCGCCCGCCGCGTCGCTAAAGAAGTCTCGATTTGTCTTGACGGTGCGCGTCATTCTGCCGACCCGCCGGCCATGCTGATGCTGAAAATCGTGTCGTGTGCTGTTGTATTTTTCGGGTTGAGTGATGCGTCCTGACTGACCAGGGACCCAAGATCGAATTTCCTTGGAGCTCGCACGGGAGAGAGGCGACGGTATGACGAAATGACGAGATGCTGGCCCTATTTCCGTGCTCCGGGGGGGCTGCTGGCCTGGCTTAAGCCGCTGGACCTCTGGACTCAGCAGGCAAGGTAGTACGAGAGGAGGTAAGATGGACAGCGAGAGGTGGTAAGGTAGGTAAGGTAAGCTGGGCAGCTGGGCAGCTAGGCCGCTAGGCTGCTTGCTGCTGGGCTGGCTGGGTTGGCTCTCAGTCCACCCAGATGGATTGATCCGGTCCCGGGAGACGGGAGGGACGGGAAAGAAAGCTATCGTCCGCTTTCCCCTTCAACCGGAGGATAAAGAAATAAAAATAAATAAAGAAAAATTTCAGATAAAAAAAAACGATGGATGCAAATTGGATGTTGAGTTTAGCATGCAGAGTTCCCCCAAACCCATGGACTCTTCTGGGCGCGGCTAGGCCAGGCCATCAGCTCGGAAGAGCGGCGTAGCAGTGAGTGCACCATCTGCCCACCCACCACCAAGGGCAAGGGTGTCGCTGGGTACAACAAGTCTCAATGGCTATCGAGAGTTTGCTGGCGCATCGGTACCCTAGCTGTCGGTTCCTGTCAGGCGTCTAGGATTGGACGCTTCCGACCGTCTGTCGTGTTGCTCTCGCCCACTGAAACCCGGCACACACGCCTGGGGAATGGTCAAGGGCGGGATCTCAGATTGCCCGCAGAATGCTTTTCGCTCCTGCTGGTTGGCTTCTAGTTTGTGAGACAAGGAAACGGCAAAAGCAAACCTGCAAGACCTAGGAGATCAGGACGGTCGGCGAGCAGTGACAATATTATATCGACCGTAGCGGACGGAATACATGGCAAAGCTCAAAGCTCAAAGCACATGGAAATGCTGTGCGCAAACTGCTCATGGTGGAAGTGGCGCTCGGCGAAGCGTCCGAGGGTTTTGGCCAATCATGTTCATTGCTGCGGTGATAATCGTCATCGCCCCGCCACAATCGGGAAGCATTCGATGTACATCGAGATGCTGCTCATAGCTGTGGGCCGTTCGGCACAAGCAAATGAGTCTTCCTTCCATCTGCATGCGGCCATGATCAGTTAAAAGGCTTCAAAAAGTGAAGACTTGGTCCGACACGAGTTTTGCTCAGATATGAGCCACATCCATTTATGGTCATGCATATGCGAAATCAGATTGCATAGAGCAAATTGTAGGGCCGTTCGCTTGACGCGGGGAAATCGGTAGGAAGGGGTGGTGGGGGAGGCTGTCAAAGGGAAGAAAAAAAATAAAAATAAAGCATGGGGAAAGAGGAAAAAAAAACTAAAAAAACTTACAACTGCTGCAACGAGTCGTTTTCCCGACGACGTGTTCATGGAACCTCGTATGCTTCTTTTTTACAGGAATTGCGTCAGTACCGCAGCTTCTTCCGAATCGATTCGAATTTCGACGCCCGCTTGAGCACACTCGATGCGTGCCTGCTGTTGGTATAAGGTTCGAATGGCTCAGTCGCCGTATTACACCACTTCGTCGAGATAGCCGTCGAGTTGCTTTTTCCCCCATCAATCAATGCGCCTATGATGGTACACGGGCACCAGAAATGCTGACACCGCTAGCTGCTCTTGCAATGTATCCCTGGATCATGTCGCAGTCGCAGTCGCTGTGCTGGAGAATCTGGTTCTTCAGGGTGAGAACTTCGTTCTTGAGCGCCGTCACGCACGCATCGAGGTACATCCGTTCTTGTGTGACTTTCTTCTCTTTGTTGGCCAGGTCGATTTCGTATTGTTTCGTCTTTTCTCGACAGCGTTTGGCCGCTACCCGGTTTTTGGCTCGATAGGTAGTCTTTCCCTTCTCCGCGCGAGGTCGGCCAGCTGGTTGCACTCTCGGCTCGACATCGTCGCCGCTGTCCTCGATAACATGGACACTATCGTCGGTCGAGGTCGCGGGCGAAGACTGGCCGTATGAACCTCTGCGTTTCTTCTTCGGGGCCTGTCCAGGGGCAGACGAGGAGGAGCTGGGTCGAGTTTGAAGTCCCTTTGACCGGCAAGATGCCGTGTTTGCGTTGTTTTGCATCTGCGTTTCGGGAAGAGGTTGCCAATCCGACGACATGGCTTGTGAAAGGTGCGTAGTGGAAGCCGGCCATTGAGTCTGCTGACTAAAATCAGTCGACTGCAGCGGTTGAGGCTGTTGTTGATGGTAAACAGGCCAACTGGTTGTTTGGGATGGCCACCTCGCGACGACGCCGTTCGCAGTTGGCTCAGCAGCCCCAAAGGCCAGATGTCCTTGCCGCTCATCCCATGGCAAGGACCCCAGTGCGTCGCAGCTGTCGTCTTGGGCATACAAGGGCGTTACCATCTGGTTGCCCCATGCAGGCCACTCCCGACAGACATAATCGTTGGTTGTGGAAGACAGGTGATTCTGATCTGAAGTCGCAGGGTGAAAAGGCATTGACATGCCGGCCATGTTGGCTTGGTCAGGGTAGCCCGACTGCGTCATTGTCTCCATGCTAGAGTAGGGTAGTCAGTCGGCTGGATAGTGTCCTTAGTTTGCGTGACAGTGGTGATGTTGAGAACTTACAAGATCAAGGTGGATACGGCCAGGATGGGACCAGCGCGAAGGTGGTGGTAGCGGGATCGCGGAAGAAAGCCAAAAGCCTAGGTAATCTGGCCGTTCTCTCTTGGCTCAGGGACCAGCGGGCGAATTAAGCGAAAAGGCGAGAGAACCTGGAAGTGGCCCCAGGTTTGTGGTGGATGGCGTGGGAGGGACGGAATCGCAGCGCAGGGCGAACAAGGACGATATAGCGGAGGGGTACTGATGGCAGACAGAAACGATTGACGAGCGAACAAGGACAGATGCGAGTCGGAAGTCTATAAGAAGGAACGCATAAGGGTAGGCAAGGGGCGGAAGAACGGGGATGGTATATGATGACGAAGAAGCTGGAGATGCAACTGGGGGGGGGGGGCGGGCAAGGGCACGTTTGGCCGGCAAGACGGAGCTCGGTCCAGTTGCGGAGATGACAGCCCTGGCAGAAAGCAAATTCCAACTCTTGGACCAAGGCGGAAAAGAGAGGTATACCGTATCACGCAGAGGGGGACGAGCTGGTGGTGCTTGGTGGGCATCCATCGCAACAGGGATTCAACATCCCGAGCCCTGCAGTGAAAACCGGACAGTGGACAGGGTTGGACAGGTATCGGTAAGATGGCGGAGAAAAGGTAAGGTATGGAATGCTTTCGAGTTGTGTGGTGAGCCACGGTGTTATTGAAACCGGCAGAACTGAGAAAAACAAATAAGCAGGGGACGGGACGAATCAAGTACAGAGTACCTGACAAACAAAACGGAAAGAAAGATCAGCAGAAGGAGAAGAGACGGGAAGTCTTGAAGAAAAGCAGCTCGGACGGGAACAAACAAGAAAGATACCTTGAGGAGAAGAAGAGAAGGAATGGGCGACATGTCGACAGCTTAAGGTAAAGGCAAGGTACAAACAAGTTCGTTCATGACAGGACGTGATAGGCCAAGGAGGAAAATGACGGGCTGGACGGTTGCAAGGAAAGCAGAGGGACAAGTCATTGGCAGCCATTGGCAGATGCCTGAGCGCACGGAATGGCCTCCGGGGCATTTGGAGTATTTGATTGGCTCCGGACGATACTCCGGCTGCTAATTTTGACGAATCGATCGGGAAGGAGCCCAAGTCCGCCGCCCCCCTCTTCCCTTCCACGTCCAGTGTTTTCCCCCCCAAGCCTCAAGGGCCCCTTCCCTTCCTTTTCGCCTGGGTCCTAGCCGGAGGACCCTTCACAGTGTTTTCCCTCAGGTACGGATACAGCTGTGAGGTTTCCAAGGTTCTCTAATCTCTTGGGCCTTCCCGTCACCCTCCACAGGGCAAGTGCAACCCGGCAGGGCGGACACCGGACACACCTTCCCGGCAAAATCTCATCGACAACAGCAGATTCGGTTTTCTTGGGTAGGTACGGAGTATTCTGAGGGAGGTACAGTATCCGTACTTGCCTTTATCTCATGCTTAAATTTTGCCATGTCTTCACCTTCACCTTCACCACCACCATCATCATCACCATCCATCAACTTTTGTTCTTCAACAACACAGGCCGTCGGGCTGCTTTGCGGTCGCGACGTCCTGGGATACCTCACGGGACTCCCCCACGATATCACACCTCTCCTTGTACCTGTTACGAATACTTGGCTCGCCTCACCAACACATCCCACAGATGCTCCCGTATCGTCATCCTTGCTCGTCAAGACGGAGCTAAGACCGTCGCAGATTTCTGACCAGTGGCCAACTTCCGTCTCGCCGATCGCTCCCCGACGCGAGGTCCAGCCCCGGCCAAACCGCTCGCAATGTCTGCGTGCTTTCGCAGCTTCAACACCTCCGAGTCTTGGTGTTGACCTTCGCCGCGGCCCGAGGTACCTCCCTACACACTCGCCATCTCATCCTTCCGCTTACTCGTTGACGTCCAAGTTGAACGCAATCCGCTCATTTCAAACCACACCCAACCCCTCTTTCAACTTGAGAGAACACGTCTTCTGTTCCCGTCTTGATCTTGATATTTGCTGGTTTGACAGGCCCACACTGTCCCCGATATGCTGGTCCCCTAATACTACCCGTTCATGTAACGATACCCTGGCTAGATCAGGCACCGCCATCACGTTGCTACCTGACGACAAGACTGATACTCATCTACGAGAACTTCCAAATTTTCGCCAAAGGCCACGCAAGTCTGCGGGTGCGAATCGTGCTGCCATGATGGCTGATTTGCTGGGTGTCCCTCCGCCGTCTCGCCCACGTCGCAAGACCCGATGCTTCTTCTCCAACACTCAAACTTGGAAACGCAGCACCCACTAACCCGCATTGTTTCTTCTGCCGATCGCCCACGCCCGAGGGGAATCTCAGTGTACGGATAGCTGTGTGTGCCTACCTACCTAGGCGACCAAGGCTTAGCACCCACGCAACGCAATGCCATCTCGCCCGCATCTCACGCTATTCTTGCCTTAGCTCAACCTTTGGCCAACGCGAGCGCATGCTGACGTCCCCGGGGCTAGGGCGCCATACACGGGAAGAGCCTAACGAGAGTTGAGATGGCGAGCTGGCACACTGGCATGGCACACTGGCAAGTTTTCCATGGAACACGCCACTATCTAAAGACGACTCCGTCTTCCGTCCTGGCAAGAAAGCCAAGCCCTCAACCGGAACGACCATGATGGTGGGGAGCAGCATCACAACAGGGGGTTGGAAGCACCTCGAACATCGCCTACAGATAAGCCCAACTAACCTCTACACCATTGGCTCGGACTGCCACTCCGCGCCGCACATTGAAAACATGCGATGAGGCAGCCGAGACACAAATGCAGAAGTTGCTGCTAACGTGAACCTCTAGCAGTCAAATTCCGGTCACCCGTGCCACTTTGGGGGCTTCTCCGCATGACACTGGAGTTCCCTGCCGCCATCTTCATTCCAATCAGAGCTTACAACTTTCTCCCGGAGTCGACTCCGTATGCCGCCACCAGGTATTAGCCGCAGGCCACACAGGTTGTCTTAGTGTACATCGTCCGGACTGCCCATGGCCGATGTTACTTGGTCTGCACCAAACTTACGCTCATCCACCACACTGCAGATTTCGGGCTGGGGTGCAACAGAATGGAGTTGTGGTGACACGCCGCCATGTCATGAGAAGAAGAGACGTAGAAAAACGGTACTTCTGACCAGCACTCCCCAACGCGATTACCGTGTTGTCCTCAACTAGGCCACGCAGCGAAACATCTCCATATCCATCCACGCTAGTGATTCATCGTAACCGAAGAGTGAGCCCCGGCAATCTCTAATTGACATTCCGCCCTTTTCTTTTCTTATTTGTCTACATCCCCAAGAGCATGCGTCAACGAGACGCGTTGGTCCACACGCAGTCCAGACGCTGGCTTTGGTGGGCCGTAGGGTTGTTCGCACATGAAGCTTCCTTCACGTTTTACGTCTCATTAAGCTCGGCGACCCAGCAGCCCAGAGAACCCCTCGCCGTCTCGAGCGAACGGCACCATCTGTTAGACATCTGAGATGTCAAGGCCCTGCTTGCACACAACGAGCTATCTTCTTCCGGGGAGCCAGAGCAAAGTTCAGGTCAAGTATGGAGTGAGCAGCCAGCAGATGTTGAGATTCTTAAGCATGTTCTCGTTTCCTGTCCGCTCATTCCTCATTCCCGATCTCGAAGGGTCAAGACGCTGTGGAAAGCCGAGCTGCGGGGAGACTCACGCCGGTATCTTCTGACGTTCTCAGGTCAGGATACTCTGTACTCTGCCAGACTAGAGGGCGGGAAGGCGGAAATGGGACTGTACTGCCTTCCCAGTCTCGAAGGAAGAGGCCGTTGTTTCCAAGGCGAAGGTGGGAGGGGGGTAACCAGTTTGCCAGTGCGTCTCTGCGGATTGCCACCCACAAAGCCCCGGGACATCCCCCCCTGTCCACATCAGATGTCACAAATTGGTCAAACTTTTCTCTCCGTTTCCACGCGGTTCAAGTATACGTAGCATTCACATCAAATGCCTCTTCCGAGTAGCCATTCGAGCGAGCAGGGGATTATCGGTTTCTAGAGACGATTTAGACCTCCTTAACACAATCGCCCTCTTCTCTCTTGCTTCACTCAAGGGGCGATCACGGCGAAGATGGCATGAGGTTATCAATAATCCCTCCGATTAACTATTCGTGAGGATACTTCTCAGTCCTCGACGCCACAAGGCCGTGATAGGACCTACCTACGGCAGGATATCAGACACGGTCTGGCCCTCAATCGTCATGATTGGCAAACAGTGTAAACAGTGACACAACCCACGCAGACCGAAAATACCGCCAGGAGGGAAGCGAACCAACCCTTGAACGCGGCCGCAGGCAGGGTTCCTCCCGGACGCAAGCACAGCGAACAGAGCCAGAGCTGCTTACTCATCTGATGACTTAATCTCGACATCGATGTCCCGTCACATCTGTCGACAATCCCTCTCCTCTCGTTTCTCGCCGGACTCGCTTCCGGAGCCGTTGAGCCGCCTGCGGAAACTAAGCTCCATAGAACCAGCCAGCCCGCGCGGGACCACCATCACGCTCTGGTAACACCGCCCTCTGAGGCACTGTTCAGATCTTAACGTTCCAGGCTTTTTCTTTTCGACTTTGCGGGGTGTTCCATTGACCGGTGGCCCCCCGTCATCTTCGCCGGCGTTGGGGGTGCGATCTGACACCAAAGTGAACGAATTCCCCATCAGAAATATCGTCTTGGCGAGTACGGTCTCCGGTCCTCGACTTTTTGTACATATACGAACATTTGCTCCTGCAAACTTTCTCAAGGCTTCTCCTTTGAATCATCGCTCATCTTCTCGCCTTGCTTGCCTCCTCACTGCCCCTTTTTTCAAACGTACTGACGGCTGTCATTGCCCCGCTCTTATTGGTTATTAGACCACGACGGGATCTTGGGGACTCTCTGTCGATTATTCCTCTGACATCACATTACCTATTTGGGTAACTTATGGCGCGTCAACTGGAGAAGCCCGACACCTACCTTCTCATCACTCAGTCCTACTTGAAACACTCTTCGACTTCCTCCAGCGTAGTCAGAATTTCACATTGAAGAAATACTCGATGGCACACCAGGTCAAGCTGCGACCACTCTTACCGCACACCTCGAACCGTCCAAACCCGCCCTCCGACCCAGCCCCGCTTCCAAAGAGAAAGAGACCACAGGTCTCCGCCGCGTGTAATGGTACGGACCTCACACTTGATCGTTGAGTATTTAACTAAAATGCTCCCAGGATGTCGGAAACGGAAAGTCAAGGTCAGCCAACCTCATAAGATCACTGGGCTTCTAGCAACCCGCCAGCCAGAGTGTTTCCAAGAAAGTTCCAAGAAAAGAAAATGAGACACAGACTAACCGGGACAAATCGCAAAAATAGTGCGACGGCGTCAGACCGAGCTGCTACTCGTGCTCCTACTCCAAGATCCCATGCGTCTACCCGGTTCCGGAGGGCCTGTCCCAGAGGGAGGCCCAGAAGCAGAAGCTCAGCGACGTCTCCAAGGCGCACGAGAACAGCCACAGGGTGCTCCAGCTACTCAGGGCGAGCCAGGACGGCTTTTCTTATGAGATCCTGCAGCAGCTGAGGCAGCCCGGACATCTCGACGATGCTATTCAAGCAATAGCAGACGCGAGTCTCTTATTTCCTCAGGGCGACGACCATGCGCGTGAGTCCGTCTTTCGGTAAACCTTTTTGGGGAATCTCACACTCACAAGGCCCCTTTATAAAGTAGAGTTGTCTCAGGCTTTTCAAGGAGGAAACGCCCAGAGACCACGTGGTCAACGTCCAGCTGGCAGGTAAGCTCTTAGTCACTGCAGTCTCCTTCTGGAGACGATTGTTTTACCAATCCACACTCGCCTAACATTTCCTCGTGGTAGTTACAACACATCCACGAGATTCCACCCAGCTGAGAATGCCGACCCGGGCATCACCCTGCCCCTGTCCCGCTGGACGACCGTCTCGCACGACGACAAGCTGCTGACCCGGCTACTCGATCTCTTCTGGGCCTGGGACGGCACCCTCTCCCTCCTCGTAGACCGAGAGCTGCTCGCCGCCGAGCTGAGCACCGGCGTACCGGGGCCGGGCGAGAAGCACCGCTTCTGCTCGCCGCTCTTGATCAACGCCATCCTCGCCGTGTCATCTGTCAGTAGAAAACCCCCGTGCTCGCTCGTTTTGTCATTCCCGCCCGTGTTGACTCTCCGTGCCCACGTTCTAGCTACACTCGACCAGGGACTACTCCGCTTCGGCGGGCGAGGCCCTGAGTCTCTCCCAAAAGTTCGCAGAGCACGCGTTCGACTTGATCGAGGCGGAAAGGGACTTGGGCTCCCTGACGCTCATCCAGAGCGCCGCCATCCTCTGGGTCTACGCCCGTAATGAGGGGTCGCAGATCTCGCAGGCCAGGGCCGCAAGACTGGCCGACTTGATGAGGCAGTTATGGTCGGCCTTGTTCGATTCCCTGGAACAGCAGACATCACGCGACTCCAGGCTCCGGCAGGCCATCTCGCAGATCTCGTGGGGGTTCTACTGCTTTTTTGCGTAAGAAACTCATATACTGCTCCCCCTTTCTTTATTGCCACCCTATGACTAACTTGAATTGTTTCTTCAGAAAAATGTCACTTACGTTTTCACCAAAAATGCTAGTCTCAAAACCTCTCATCATGAAGACCTTCGAGACTCAAGACGAACCCGTCCCTGGATCTCCGGCCTCCACCACCACCTCCGATGCGGTCAAAGATCCCGTAGCCGCCCAGGAAGCATGCAAGCTCCAGCTCTTCATCGCCGAGTGCTCCCTCTGCGAAATCATCGAGCAGTTCGTCTCTAGCTTCGTCCGCGGCGCGTCTCAGCGCGTATTCCTAGACGGCGGGCGTCGCACGGAGCTATATAACAAACTCCTCTGCTGGAAACTTTCCCTCCCGGAAAGCTTCACCACGGGAGACAGCGTTCTGCCTTCTGTTTTACTCCTTCAGTACGTTGAAGCCCCATGTGCCCATGATTAAAGGACTTACCGTCCGGCTAACCCCCAGTGCCAGATCAACGTACGACTTCGTATGCCTCAAGCTCCTCTCGGCCTTCACCGGCACCGACTTCGACGGCCGCAACGCCGACGCCCTCCTCCACCTCCACGCCAGCTCCCTCGTCAACACCCTCTGGCTCCACCGCAGCCTGCACACCCTCCGCCACGAGTACTGGGCCGCCGAGCACTGCGCCTTCGCCGCCCGCGTCCTCCTGTCGCGTCTCGAGTCCGCGCACGACATCGTCGCCAGGGCGTGCTGGCTGCTCTGCGAGATGAGCGCCGGCGGCCTCTCGGCCCGCGCGGCGCAGCTGCTGGGCGAGATCGAGGAGACGGCGAGGGCGATGGGAGTGCGGGTTCCGGCGTACGGGAGAGCGTCGTCGAGGTCGCCCGAGGTTGTCGATGTCGCGCCAGGGTTCGTCGTGAGGGGCGCGCGGGTGTTTGATGGTTCTGTTCGTGGCGGCGTGCTGGGGGACCGGTGTGACGTTGCTTTCAGGGGGAATATTTGTGATGTCCGACCAGGAATTTGAGGTTTGGGGATCTTGGATGAGGGAAGGCGGGTGGGATCTATTGGCGGAGTTGGGGCGTGTTTTTCATATTCTGCGGTAGAGCGGTACATCGAGGCTCCTGTACAAGGAGTAGTACACGGAAAAAAGTACTCTTGCGATCAACCAGCTCACCTGGGTAGACACGGCATGAGTATCAATGTTCATTTTGGCTCCTATCAAAAATGCAAACCGGATATCCATGCCGGACCCCCCGCACCTTGAACGAACAACGTGCGATCCTTACACCTTAGCCCGACTCAAAGTGACACATCTTCCAACACCCGCTCCCCTTACGTGATGCCATCTCAAACCGCCAAGTTCGCCGGCTCAACATCCTCCCCCTGAATCCAGACCCGTCTGATATTCCTCGTCGCCGATATGTCCTCCAGCGGGTTCCCCTCGATGAGCAGCAAATCGGCCCTCAGCCCGCCCCTCACGATGCCGCGGTCGCCGAGCCGGAACGCCTTCGCGGCGACGCACGTCGCGGCCCGCAGCGCGTCGAGCCTCGACAGGCCCGCGTCCACGAGCAGCCGCAGCTCCTCGTGCAGGCTCTCGCCGAAGGGCACCTGTGTCCCCGGCACCAGGTTCGCGGTCGTGCCGGCGCAGACGGTCACGCCGGCCTCGTAGAGCGTGCGCACGCTGTCCGCCGCGTTGCGGTAGTCGGAGCCCGAGGTCGCGCCCGGGTTGCTGCGGTGCCGCGAGCCGGCGTCGGGTTCGGTCTCGTCCGTGGTCGCGTCGCGGCCGCGGGTTGCGAAGGAGGAGGCGGGTAGGCCCTCCGTGGTCGGGAAGCTTGCCCGGGGGACGCTTTCGCCCGAGAATGAGGACATATGGGTGCTCGTCGGCGTCCGCCTTTTCATCGTGCTCAGCGTTGGGACGAAGACCTTGCCCTGGGCAGCCATCTCACGAGCCAGGTCGGCGTCCAGGGGTTCGTCGAGCGGCGCGTGGGCGAAGATGTCGAAACCCGCGCGCATACCGCGAACGTAAGACGCCTTGCCGGTCGTGCGCGCGATGACGAGCTTGCCGTGCGCGTGCGCGGCGTCGACCATGGTCTTGAGGAGGGCGTCGTTGGGGGAGTCCCGGTCGACGATGACTTTAACGAAGTCGGCGCGGTCCGGCCCGCTGGCCTTGGCGGCCGCGAAGGCCACGGCGTCGGCCGCGGTGCGGATGACGATGCCGTCCGGGTTGTCGTAGACCTGGGGCTGGTGGTCGCGGGCCGGGGTGGCCTCGGTGCCGCTGGTGAGGACGGTGGGGAGCCTGGTGCGGCCGGCGGCGTAGACGCGGAGGGCCTGGCACTGCTGGGTGTTGCTGCTGAGGTCGATGACGGTGGTGACGCCGTGGGAGGCGAAGGTGGCGAGGGCGGCGTTGGCGCCTTTGATGTTCGCGTAGACGTCGATGAGGCCCGGGATGAGGGTGCAGCCGTGGCCGTCGACGAGGACGTCGGACTTTTCTTCCGGGTCGTCGTCGTCGGCGGCGGCGGTAGGAAGGGCCTCGATGTTGCCGGCGGAGCGGGTGATGACGACGTTGGCCGGGTCGCGGAGCGCGTCGCTGTCGAAGACGCGGACGTTTTGGATGAGGATCTTGGTCATTGCCTTCTTTGTGGTGATGGAACTCGTTGTGTAAGATGTCGCTTGGATGCAAGTACACGCGGCTGCGTTGAACCGGTGGCAGGGACGATCGGCTCTCGCCGTTGGCAGCGGAGAACTAGGTAGATGTCAGAGAATTGGATTAAGTCTTTGTGCCGCAGAAGATGGTCAGCGATATGTCACATATGGCACATTAATGACATATGCGCTCAGTCTGCGTTTGCCAATCTCTCAGTCCGGCCGGTCAACTCCAGAGGCTAGCTGCAAGATAGGTATCAACAGGCAGTGGATGTCGGTTCCACAGTGACAGGGCAATGAAGTCATACAAGAGGTTACTGCACAAATATTGCTTGCTTTAGGCGCGATTCCAAACTGTTCATACGCATCCGCTCCCGTCCTGCACCACGCCTAGGGGGCGAGATACAACCAGCACGAACTTCTGGCAGGCAAATGCCAGCGCCTATTCCCTCCAAAGCCTGTCTGGGAACCGGAGCAGGTCCGGACATCGAAGATGCAGTGTACATCTGAACGTTTCCTGACGGGAGACTCTGTTGCCAACAAGGATTGACGTCAATTCTGAGTGATGGGGTTCTTGGGCCTGGCGAGTGAATACATTCGTTGACCAATGGCGAAGAGGCTGCCGCCGGAACCGACTCCTAACCAGTCATTTTGTGTAAGCTTCGAGGCGGAGCTGGTGCCGCGCGCTGCATGTGATTGGTCGGATGCCATGATGCTTGTCGATGACCAGCAGCCATGTCATGACGGGTTCGGACGTCTCCATCGGGATGGGAACCAACCACCAGAAAGGTTACTTCACTCGGCGAACAGCATCGCATCACAATGTCCTCCAATTCGGTTTACGCTCCGCAATGCACCTACGAGAATGCGGGTCCTGTTGCGTGCCATATTTGGTCACAGCAGTCTTTTGACCTGGCGCGAAGGGGTTCATCGGCTGCCCATTCGTCGTCGAATCTTCGTCCACACGACATGTTTGCTGCAATCTGTAGATAGATAGAACAGTTTCGCTTCTGAGGAGCTCACATGCTAAAGTTGGATGACTGTCTGTTTGTAATTGAACTTGATGTATGGCGTGCGCTCTTCCAGGATGTGTGGCACTGGCGACTGAAAAATGAACAAAGATGTAATTGGTTTTTCGACAGTCTTTCCGCCGGGGTATAATATTTCGCTTGGCTTCTCCACGCCCTATTAAACAGCGCAAGGATCGACGGGCCTGCATGAGGTGTCAATATGGCTACGACCAAGTCCACAATCGGAAATCGAACTTTGACGCAAAAGTACCCGCAGCCTCCATCGAATCTCAGTATTCTCCTGTATCAAATGTCCATCTTCGAAAGTGAACTCTGCCCAAAATCAAGTTGCTCCGTAGCCTGGCTGAGTCTTATCTGCAAAGCCCCGTGTCGGAGTTCGTGATGGGTATTTGATATAAGTCGATGTATTGGTATCGGCTGTCGTGCTGGCGTGTGTGCTTCCAATAGCAATCTTCTCCTCTCACGGACCTGGTGTGACAATCATACTGGGTTTCAAAAGCCGTAATCAACCCATGTTGATATCGTCATCGTCTTCCACCTCCTCCACCATAACCTTCTTAGGCCCACTAGGTTCCGTGTCCTCGGAAGCAGTTGCTGGTTTCAAGTAACCTTCTCGCTCGAGTCTGTCTGCTTCCTCGGGCTCCATCAGGCCTCCCTGGCCCTTACCCTTGTCCATCTTCATTCGGACCGCGGTAGGCACAAAAGCAGACACTGCCTCCTTCTGCAAGTTGCGAACAACTGGTTTCGCTTCGTAAACCGTCTTCGGCTCTGGTGCTGGGGTCGCGGGCTTCTTCTCGTTGCCTTCCGCCTTGCCCTCCGCCTTTTCTTTCTCAGCCTGTTCAGCCTGCCGGCGAGCACGTCGCTTTGAGTACCACTTGTCGAGAACTTCCTTCGGGACGGGCGGCGGTGTATCTCGCGGCATAGGGATGCGCTTTACGTCATCGGGTACGTCTTCGTCGCTGGTCAACTCATCGTCATTTCGTCTGCGTTTCCCTAAGACGCCTCCTGAGGAATCGCCATCGCGATGGAATCCGCGGCTGAATGTTGGGGCATTGTCGCCAAGGGCTTCGCGCGCCTTCTTCACGGCTCGTAATTCCTTCTCGAGTCCTTCGAGGACTTGCTCTTCATGTCGGGAAAGCTTTCCACCTCCTGTTGTTATCGCTTTGAGGTCGTCGATCTGTTTTTGGATTCGTTCGGGGTTGCGGCGAGCGAGCTTTTCGTTACGTTGAGACTGGATGGATGCCTTGCCTAGAGTCAAATGTTAGCGACGTCGAAAAACCACCCGTGCCGAGTCTTGGAAGTTGGGTTACCTTTTTTGATCGCTTTGGCCTTGTCAGCTTTACGCTGGGCCTGTACTGGATTGTAGTTGCGTTCTTTCGGCATCGTCAGTGTTGTGTGGGTGGGTGTTAAAGACGTAAAGATGAGTGTCGCGGTCGATGTGAGGTCGCGATCCAGAAAGCTTGCTTCAATCGCGATAATGGAGCTTCTTATCTAATCTTATCAGCTCACGTGACGCGTCCAATCAACAAGGGGTCGATTGTTGCCCCTGCGACATTGTTGACTTTGGACCCCGCAGCAGCCCAATAACACTGTTGCTTTGTTCCCGCTTCCCCCCTAAATTAAATCGGTGTCCACCCAGCGATCGACTGTGCAGTGACGGGCTCTCTTGGGCAGATCTTGGGCCTGACTCCATCAATCACCCTGGACTCCCGTCCCAAATTCAACCCCACGGCGGAGAAGATAACAACACACGCCTCGCTTGTTGCTGCTGTTAGCATCTGCTATCCGTATCGCGAGTCCTGAACTTTATCCGTACCTTGCGGCGGTATCGATCCTCCCACTTCCTCTCCGTCGGCCCCTCCTAATCGGCTGATCGTCTCATTTATTCCCCTTTCGCCGCCCTCCCTCGATTGCTTTTTCGAGCATCAACAACACCGCAACAATGTCGGGCTTCATGTCCAGCTTTCTCCCTGGAGGCAGTCCGTCGAGGCCCGAGACGCCTACGAGAAACAGCTTCATCAACCCCGCAAGCACGCCTCAGGGCAGCCCCAGCAAACGGACGGCCCCTCCAGGCGCCCACGAATTGCCCGACGCATTCGACAGCGCCCTCAAGTTGAACACTCCTCTCCTCGAGAGACCTAGACTCGAGCGCCCGCTGAGTGTCATCAACACACCGCAATCCCCAGGAAAGGGCAATCTGACCGAGTCGAGCCCGAATGTCGAAGACAGCGTCCTACACAGGGGTGTCGCTTCCACTGGCAGCCCCTTGAAGAAGTCTCACGGCCAGGAAAACACCCCTCCTGTGTCGCGCAAGGGAGTGGGCGAGTCACCTTATCAACAAAGCCATGCGGCCATCTCCCGCGGCGAGCTGTACCAACCCAAGGAGAAGCCAATCACTCCCAGAAACAAGTTCAACACCCAAAGGGCGCTTACTCCAGAGGAATTGGAGATCCTGCAGCGTCCCAACGTCCGCCGCCTGGTCAATGTTACCCAGCTATGTATGCTAATTCCCGGTCTATCGTCGATTCAAGCTAACATGCTCCAGACTTCCTCGACTACTACTTCGACCTGCTGACCTACGTTGGCTCCAGACAAAATCGCCTTGTGTCTTTCCAGTCCGAGATCCCGCCCCCGCCTGAAACCGATGAAGCGACATACAAGCAGATGTGGTCAAAGTACGCAGGTCGAGAGCGCGCCAACTTGAGAAAGAGACGTGTCCGACTTCGCCACGGTGATTTCCAGATTCTGACACAAGTTGGCCAAGGTGGCTATGGTCAAGTTTTCCTGGCTCAGAAGAAGGACACACGCGAGGTTTGCGCCTTGAAAGTCATGAGCAAGAAGTTGCTCTTCAAGTTGGACGAGGTGCGCCACGTGTTGACAGAGCGCGACATTCTCACCACGGCCAAGAGTGAGTGGCTGGTCCGGCTGCTGTACTCCTTCCAAGACGACAAGAGCATCTACCTCGCTATGGAATACGTTCCGGGTGGTGATTTCCGCACTCTGCTCAACAACACTGGAGTTCTGAGCAACCGTCATGCCCGATTCTACATCGCAGAGATGTTCTGCTCTGTCGACGCCCTCCATCAGCTCGGCTACATTCACAGAGATCTGAAGCCAGAGAACTTCCTTGTCGATTCCACAGGCCACGTCAAGCTCACCGACTTCGGCTTGGCGGCAGGTTTCCTCGCACCGGCGAAGATCGAATCCATGCGAATCCGCCTGGAGAAAGCTTCCGAGACGTCGGTCCCATTCGGAAAGCCAATGGATCAACGAACAGTTGCCGAGCGACGAGAGGGTTACCAGACGATGCGCGCCAAGGATACAAACTACGCCAAGTCCATTGTGGGCTCGCCTGACTACATGGCGCCAGAAGTGCTCCGAGGAGACGAATATGACTACACTGTGGATTACTGGAGTTTGGGATGTATGCTTTTCGAGGCCTTGACCGGATTCCCGCCCTTTGCTGGATCTACCCCTGATGAGACCTGGCGAAACTTGAAGCACTGGAGAGAGGTCCTGAAGCGGCCCGTCTGGGAGGATCCTAACTACTTCCTCAGCAACCGCACATGGAACTTCATCACAACGTAAGTGATTTAACCCCGCTGTTTTTTCTGAAAGGCTCTAATCCTGTCCTTTAGTTGCATCAACTCCCGGTCCAAACGATTCTCTACTATCAAGGAGATCTATTCTCACCAATACTTCGCAGAGGTGGACTGGGACACCCTTCGCACCACCAAGGCTCCGTTCGTTCCCGAACTCGATTCGGAGACCGACGCGGGCTACTTCGATGACTTCAGCAACGAGGCCGATATGGCCAAGTACAAGGAAGTGCACGACAAGCAGCAGGCGCTTGAGAGCATGGCAGACCGTGATGACGAAATGGGCAAGAGTCTCTTCGTCGGATTCACGTTCCGACACCGCAAGACCGGAGATGATGGAAGTCCTCGCAAGCCGATTCCATTCAACAACAGCAATGAAGATACCTTTGGCACAATGCTGTAGAACCAGTCAATGTGGCAAAGGGCGCAGTATCAAGCGGCGTATCAGGCGCGGAATCAGGCGCAGTACATGCAGTACTCGCAGTATACGCCGTATCCGCAGTATCAATGGTTTTCACGGAAGAGCCTTCGCTGAACCTGGCGTCGGCAGATTCCGTTGATGATGATGAGGCAGACGTCATGGAACTACAATGATGAAGGCAGTGTTGAAGGCGGACGGGCTTCTTGTATGAGTTTGGACAGCTGCACCCTGCACTGCAGCAACGGCATGTTTGAGATGAAATATCGGGCTGTTTTCTTTTTGCGTTGGAGTTTGCAGAAGGACAGGATTGGGATGACATGCCTGCTGCATACAAAGCAGGGACTTTTTCTTGGGTCGGGATTAATACACGGGATGGGAAACGGCGTTGCAGACGGCCGACATCCGATATCATGTTGTACTAGAGACGATTAACACACGTAGAAAATTGGTCTTATTCCCATTAGATCGGTGAGTTATCGCCGGCTTGCCGACGTGAGTCGATCTTCCGCGTCATCCGTTGAGGCTGGCGCGAGACAGGTGTAAGAGTTCCTGCCTTAGTGTCAGCCGAGATGACCACCACGCCAGCCTCGTCTCTCGGCGCGACGGCGACTAGTCTTCGATATGCTGCCAACTTGACAGGCGGCTGGGGCTTGGTAGTGGAGGTGACCATGATCAGCCCGAATCGAGCAGCAGCATAAGCACATATTCTGAAACACAGTCTTCGGTCAGGCCATGTATCGTTGGTCGACTTCTCGGCGCCTCGACAACGATTGATGGCTCACCTCTGCAATGGCTCCTCCCTTGGTGGCTCACTGTCGTTGAGTACGGACAACGGCTCCAACGGCAGTCTTGCGCAGCAGACGCAAAGAGCACTCTCATTCGGACGAATCGGCACAATTACGTCAAGTTCCCTTCTCGCAGAACACTGAGCGAGGATTCTAGAGCTAATGCGTACAGGATACGCGCCAGAAAGAAAGAAAAGATGGAAACAGAAGCACAAGGCCCCAGTTAGCCGCCTCTCCGGAGGACCGAGCCAACGGCGCCTGCAATGGTGGTTGGCCGGTTCGACCCTCGACTAAGACGGCTCTTCACCGACACTAGCGGACGTTCCCCAATGCCCATCCCGGGACGACGACCGTCAAGCGTGTGTACCACGACGCAGCAACCCAACGAGTAAACATGGAATTTTTTTCTTCCAACTACCCGCATTGGCTTGCTTACCATACCACAAGCACCAATTTTCTGTTGGGCAACCATCGTTCTGTTTCTCCTGTCACACCGCGCTCGGTCGTGAGCGCCAAGCTGCCATGCAGGGCCGCGCGGTGGCCCTACACCTTGCCGTCTAGTGGATGGCAGGGCGATAGTGAGAGAGAGAGAGGTACGACCTGCTTGGAAGGAATGCCGTTGATGGTGAGCAAGTGGAGCAAGTAAGTGGTGGAAGAGGAACCGGCCGCGTGGTAGGATTCTGCGGAAGTCCAAAGAGCTCGCATACGCGGTGTCCGTGAACCGAGGGGGCGGACAGAGGACCAATGACGATGTCATTGCTTTTTTGGCCGTACGGCTTCTCGGGACCGAAAGCAAACAGAGCTACACGGTGAGGAAGGGGGGCGTTAGACTGGCGCATAGCCTCTTCTTGTCGTCGGATGGGAATTGATATAAAGGACTTGTTCGATCTTCGTCCGTTATTGTTTTCAGTTCAGATCATCATCGCATCCTTTCGTCGCAACATCTCGCTTCGGATTTCATTCTTCAGACTAAAAACAACAAACAACAAACAGTATACACAACAAGAGAGTCAGAGACACTCATTGCTGCAAAGCTTACCTTCTCTAATCACAACAACAAATCACCTCAACAGACAAGATGAAGGCCGCCGTCGTCGCTTCCGCTCTCGCCCAGGGTGCTCTCGCCCTCGCCCCCGGCTATGGCAACGGTAACAACTTCGGTCCCGATCGCAACATGACCGGCTGGGGTGGTTTCGGTGGAGGTTTCCCCGGTGGCTTCGGAGGCTTCGGCCACGGTCCCGCGAAGTGCGCTGTACGTCCTTCTCCCATCCCATCCCCGTCTATTCTCTTCTGTCCCAACTTGGGCCGAACTCTACCTGGACACAACAAAACTGACATGAACACCAACAGGCTTCTTGCTTCTCATCCCACTGGGCCACTGCCACCCCTACCCCCGCCGCCTTCTGCTCCGACGCCCCTGCGCTGAAGTCCTGCGTCAGCTCCGCCTGCGCCACCGAGACCGCCGCCCTCTCCAAGTGGTCCTCCGTCTCCTCCTCCGCCTGCAAGGCCTTCACCGACTGTGCGACCAAGAGCACCTTCACCTACAGCGGCGGCTGGTGGGCCACCAAGACCGACGACGCCGTCACCATGACCGGATGCCCCGTCGACGGCTTCTGGGGTCCCGGCGGTGCCTGGGGTGGTAAGACATTTCCTCTCCTCTCATCTCTCTCTTCACTCGCTAATCCTACTCTTCTAGGTATGGGTCCCGGCTGGGCTTACAAGACCGAGACCGACATCGTCACCAGGACCATCTCCCAGGACGGTCGTGTCATCACCACCGTCGGCCCCCAGACCGTCGCCCAGGCCGTCTCCGGCAGCAGCACGCTCCGCACGACCTTCGCCGGCGCCTTCGCCGCCCAGGAGACCGGCACCACCACCAACGCCGCTGCTGGTGTCGACCGCAGTGTCAAGGTCGCCGGTGTCTGCCTCGGTGCTGCCGTCGCTGTTGTCGGTCTGATGTAAGAAGCTTCTTACTACCTATCATCAACATCTTCCTTGTACACCTTATCCATCACTCCTTCTTTCCCCTTTCATGGACACATTGAAACGGGGAATGGGGTATTGAAAAAACATTGAGTCGGAGCAAATAAGGGATCCGGTTTTTATGGGGGTTTAGGTTCATATTCTTCTTCTTTCTATCATTCCTTAATGACTCGGAGTTTGCTGGGTGGAAGGATATTTCTTAAGGCTGGATACCTTTGTATTATAACGATATTTATGACGGTGGATCTCCTTGGACGGAGATGATTACGTTCCTTACGATATAGACTAGTCACGGCCGGATACCATGAAAGGAATAGAATAATTCCTGCTTAAATCAGTCTAAATTGTGAACTCAGTGTTCAGGTGTCTTTATCACATGTTGAACATTCAAATTGCTTCCACAGTTGCAAGCTAAAGATTGAGAGTTCAACCCTAATGATCGGAATGATTATCGAATAAATGTTGGGTCAGTCACAGGCCATAAGTTTCAAATGTTTATGGCCATGGCTTTGACAACCACCTGAGCTGCATTTCTTCCGCCAGTCTATCATACAGCCTATCCATTCTCACACTATAGCCTCCATGGTCTGGAAACGCGGCGTCACAGTCGAAGGCCTCATATTCAAGTAATTGGTACAGATGAGAACATATTATCATAGTGTTCATGTACCATGTTCATTATTGAAACTTGTTGGGCTAGACTCCCTCCCTGACAGCTCTTTCTTCAACAGTCCTTTCAATATCCCAGCAACAAAACTGGCGCAAAGGAACCCACAGCTACAACCCTTAACAGCTTCACAGTCCTGGAGTCCTTATATCTTAAGCTCCTCGTGATTCATAGTACTGCACTCTGGCATCGGCACATCTCTGAGCTGTATCAATCGCGCGTCTGGCTGACTTTGCTATCGTCCGGTGGCCATCCTGAATTATTCTCATTAACATTTTCAAGTAAAACCGGAAACTGCACAAATCCGACATCTGTGACCGCACGGGAAAGCCGATCCATTCGGCATCCTGGACCAATGCTCGTCTTAGGAATGACGATACCTCAGCGGCGCAGAGGAATCGCAAGGGGTCGTTTGCGGTTCCCAAACATGTCATATCGAAGAAATTGATGCGCGTTTATGCGCATTTATGTATAGTGAGTCTCTCCTACTATGGACCATACGAAGGGGTGTGCTCCATATCTCTGCCACTGTCCCGCCCATTCGGCAAAGGATATCTCCCGCTGGCCACTTGAATGTACCAAGCAGAACAGAATTCTCCGATGAGGTTCTCATTCAATCAATGGTGCTCAACGATCTGGTTATTACGCCTGGCGCAGAGAGAATGAACCGAGTTGCTGAGGTGATATATTCCTCGTCCATGAAGCTTCAGCAACACCGTAATCGACTTCCTTGTCGTCCAGCAGCACTCCTAGAGTATTAAAACGAATATCACTGATGGTTCAGCCAGAAGCTTGGCGGACTGATAGCTGTGACGAGTTGGGTCATTTAAGCATGCAATCCAATCTCGAAGACGACGTTCAATTTCGACGCAGAGCACTTGCCCTCTACATGGAATTGTACGTCTCATAGATGGCTTCTCACTTGAATATATACGCATGTCCAAAGATACTGTGACCGAAATGTCCCATGGCTTTGCATATTCCGGGCCCCGTACGGTGGAAGTTTTCCGCCAAGAGACCACTTTGCTGCTCCTAGTGTGCCTTTTGCGTACAACAGCAGATTAAGACGCAGAATTTCACAGCCATATGCGGCCGAATCGCTGACATGTAAGAAGTCTTCGCAGGCATCAATTATGTGCTGTGAACTACGCGTCGTGATTCAAGCGTGTAGCCCGAGGATTGCCATTACATTTCATCTAACACTTTTGGACCAGCACACTCCCGAGCGAAGACAGAAAGACCAGACGGTTCCTACACGGCAGTCATCCGGGCGTCGGAGATCACAGTTCAGGTTTGGCCACAGTCCATGATGACATGTTCTCTAATCGCAGTAACAGAGGCGGTTCAGAAGATGAAAGGCTGCAAACGAGGTGTCCAGGCCTCTACCTAGCAGACATCCCTTTGCGAGCCGGGAGGACATGGACCAGTGCGTTGATTGGAAAGGACCAGAATACGGCGTGCTTCAGCTTGATTCTACTCTTAACATTTCAATTTCGATATTCGGGTCGCAGACAGCGTATTCAGATGATGCAAGCCGGCTGCGGAAAGCTTCTGTCAACTTGTCATCGACCATGGGATGACGCCACGAGTACCAGAGATCTCCTAGTAGCTGGAAGAGAGATATGAATCATGACGAAGGAGATCTCACATTAAGCACTAACCAAGAGAATGGGAGAGCAAGTCACGATGCATACACGGACACAATGGAAACCCTCTAGCTACTACTTAACATCCCTCTCCCCCCATATCAAGGTCTCCTTAGCTCGACCCGCGGTATCCATCGTTATCTAGAGCCCAGATCTTCGCAAGAAATAGAAGACGTAGGAGACGTGTTAGTCTGCAGCCGACGCCAATGAACCGCCAGCAGAATGCTGTCTCTCAAGCCTCGACGATGCCTGGCGAAGCAATACGAAGTGATATTCACCTCGGGGAGCAAGATCAAAGTGTCCCATCCCCGAGCCGGCCCCTTTTCCCTGGATATCACATCATCTGGCAGTATACCATCTTATACGAGAACTCGATCGTGGGCAGTCGAAGTGGGTATCGACTTGGTGTCCAAAGGATACAGAGGTTATACCCCAAGCAGACCACAACTTGGAATCGAACCAGAACATTGGAACTTGTCAAGTAACCTGCCTCGTGTATCCGGTCTCGACGACGACCCGGTGCCGTCGACCATCTACGCCTACGAGTCGATATGACGAAACGAGGGAAGATCTATTTGTTCCTGAAGATCGTCCAGACCGGGCCGCCCGTGTTTCGTATCGGTCTATCGAATAGTAGAGGGGGCTTTCTTAAGAGTCGGAAGATGATGGGAGGGTATTTGTCGAAGGAGAGGTCGTTCCGTCTCGGCTGCGAGGCAAGGCCTCCGGCAATGTACCCCAGGAGGTGGCATCACGTCCATATATCCTCCACCACTGCTATCCCTTTCGTCCGGCGCGGGGCATACGTATCGAAAAGCTCGTCATCGAAATCGGGTCATCGTGGGCAGGATATAGGGGGTTATGGCAAAACGCCACCAGAAGTTGCAAGTCGAAACCATCGAGAACACACTAGTCACCAAGTCTAAGGCAGACGAAAGGGCCAACGCCGTATCTATATCTATATCTCCCCAAAGGCATCACTCCGACTAGGCGGACCCCGAAGTCCGGGGAAATCTGGAGATAAAGGGGGTACTACCCCTCGTGTCGCCCAGACCGCCCCCCCCTTCCATCTCCAGATAAGCAGGTCGCTTTTGAAACAAAAACGACGCACGCAATCCCGCACTTACAGCAGAGATAAAGAATGACTTGCAGGCCAGCAAAGGGGGCCAACATGCATACCGACATCTGCAATCGCTGCGAGGCCGCAGAGACGTTTTGCAGGAGGTCGTCCTTTTGCTCGGGATTACTCTTTCGTGAGCAAATCGGGTGCAGCAAACGAGAGCCAAACGACAAGGGTGTCACGAGAGCAGTTGCAGTATGGAGAGATAAGGTAAGGGGGAACAACTGCTGCGGGTGTCCCAGATACATGGAACGATGGCAACCAACTGAACAGAGGCTTGAGGCTGTGCGTTGCCCTTTGCCCTTTTTCCTACCACATTCGGTATGTGTTCATGGGCAGATAGGGCAGGTCCGAGGAGAAAGATAGAACGGAGATAGAGAGATAGCAGCGATACCGACAGGGAGACGATTGCGCACGGGAGCCGATCTCTGGCGGCATCGCATTGCTAATTTGCTGGAAAAATGGTGCAAAAGAATCAGCTGCCCTATTCGAGCAAGTCTTTAACTGAGCCTTCGCCTTGGGAGAATTGGCACCAGAGATAAGAGTGACTTATAAGCTCAGGTCTTTCCCCTTTCTTTTAAGAAGAGACCAGTCAACCGAATTTTCGACACAAACGAGGTGTATTCGAAGACGACTTGAGACGACTCGATCGAAGGGCCCTGCGACAGGTGTCCTGGAACGGCGATGTAGCACACGACATCGCAATAGGAGCTTCTTAGCCACGAGCATGGCAAAAAATTCCGAACCACCAAGGCATCTCACTGCTTTGAGGCCACGAGATTATTGCCGTGTTTCTTCCCGCGAACGACCTGGGTAGCGTCATGGTGGATGGCTTATGCTTCCTACGTATGGAGGCCATGACTTCACCCGACCACAGCAGCATGTCGATGCGATGTTGATCACCCAACCACACGCCACACCAGCAGCCGTTGAAGGGCATGCTGGCATGCTCCTTGGCCGACCAGGCGCAGCCAAAGTGAACACGGTATTGAACTGGACCCCCACGCGGGGCAGGTTCATGCCCGATGATGGTGGTTGTAGGTTTCACGGCGGAAGCATCCCTTTTTAGGCGTGATCGACCGCCTTCGCCCTCGCCCTGCGTTGCTCCGAAATTCCTGGTGTTTATACCCGACAACTGGACCAAGTCGGCCGACGTCGCCCCGATGGACCCTGAATGAAAGCGACGACGCCCGTTGGGAAAAGAGGTGGATGTAGGGAAAGCCTTGTGGGCGAGGCAGCAACAGAAACCGCACAAATGTCAGTGTCGGTCCTCGGCCGAAAACCACGAGCCTTTGGATGACCTTTCAGACGGTTTTGGTTGGTTTCTGTGATCAGCGACCACGCCGGAGCAAGCACACGACAAGTCCCGCAGGTTGATGACGGTGGGGGGCACGCAATTTGACCGAGATTGCCGGGCCCTAAAATATCTTGGTGGGGGGAACCTGATAAGAGACACCAACCAGGCCAATGAGGGACAGTTGACTTGGCCTTGTCCGAAACGCCCAATTCTTTCCCTCGATTAGGACCTGCAGGGAAGCAAGTCATGGAG